ATATGCAGGGTCCGATGCCTCCTCATATGCAGGGTCCGATGCCTCCTCATATGCAAGGCCAAATGCCGTTTCAACCGCCTCCACAAATGCAGCAGTCGCCTCACGATCTTGAGTATTGGGGTGAAATGAAGGAGCAGATCGCTGGAGAGCAGGGGCAAATGCAAATGCTCGGACCTGGTATGGAAGCTCAAGGACAAGCTGAAGACCTTCAATATTGGCGCGAAATGGGACAGGCCAATGTTGGAGCTGGGGGTCAATTGTACAGTCAACATCCAGAGTATCCCATGTCTGATGTACCGCTTGAAATGCAAGGTGATATAACACCGGAGCATCTGCAATACTGGCGGGAAATGGAAGAGCAGAAGAGCGCACAACAAATGCAGAACCAGGGGATGTTGCTCAATGTTGATCAAGACGGCAATGAGATAGAGGGACATGAGGTGTCGAAGCCGCCTCCACCCGAATACTGGATACATACAGATCAGATTGTCGCTGCTGGTGCGGAGCGACAGGAGCAGGAGCAGCAGCATCATCAACGGCGTCCGGAACTACGTCCAGAGGACATAAAGGCGCTGTCTCGCGAGATCTGGTGCGATGTGGAGACGAACACCAATGTTAATGCACCGCTTTCCCAGACACCGCCGCTGCCGACTTCGTATGATTACTGTCTTGACATCGAGCAGTTGATCGCCTCATATGGACCGCAGTCGCCACAGCCGCAGAAGCAGGGTGCATCAGCAGCCAATGTCTGGCAGGATGTGAAGGAGCCGCATGATGCTGGCCAATGCTACTTGGAGGAGGCTGAGCAGCAGGAACCACAGTTGGATCAAGAGCCGGCATCAGTCTGTTGGCCCTCGGAGGGGCAGCATGCCGGAGGTGAACCACTGTTGCCGTGTCCAAGCGATTGGTTGCCCGAAGGAGTTCCTGGAGTGCTTGAGCCGCTCGTGCAGTTGGAAAATGTGGATGAGCAAGAAGTAGAGCAACAGCAACCTGCGGTACGTGAATGGTGGCCCTCTAAGCGTGCTATGCAGCAGCAGGAACAGCATCAACAACCGCACATCGACCGGCGTTTGGAGAACGAACAGAACGCCATAGCTGGTCATCAGGGACCGGAGGACGTGCATCCAGAGCCAGCAGACAGTGAACATTGGAATGATGTAAATCAGGGGGCTGAGTCTCAAGCCCAAGATAACATGACACAGATTGTAGATCCACCTAATGGTTGGTGGGTAGAGCAGGCGCACCATAATGGCGCAAAAGATGTACCACCCTATCATGAAAATAATATGTGCCTCGAGAAAGAGCAGCAGGCTTACGTGGAGTCCGAGCAACAGCAGGAACTGCAACAGGATTTACAGCAGCACGATTATCAGGAACCACAACAGGAATATCAAAAGCCGCTGGAGCCAGAGGAAGAACAGCAACAGCCTGAGGAACTTCAGCAGCCGCAGGAGCAACAGGAGTGTCAGGAAGAGAAAAAAACGCCGAAAAAAAAATCATCAACTCCACGCGACTGGTGGCAAGCTGCTGCTTTCACCCCAAAGGGACATTTAAAGTCACAAGCACAGCCGGTGCAGCCGGTACAGCCGCGCAGCATTGATTCGCCAGCTGAATGGATGCCCTACTCTTATGGTGCACTGAACGTGTCCCAAATCGTATCAGATGAAAAAGAGAATATGGCTCCGCCAAGCGCAGAGCAGAAGGCAGCTTGTGCCGGATCAATAGATCCGACTATAGGAAACAGCGACAACAATACCAACGACGATTCCCAGGATGACTTTCCATCCTTCGAGGACTTTGCCCGCCAGGTGAGCGAATGCAGTCTATCCAGCTCGGAATATATTGCCACCTTGCGAAACCTTATGATACGTGCCCATAATCTGATGCTGCCTTTGCTGCGCGGCCGCTTCGCCAACATGACCCAGGTCCAGATGGCAGCCTACACCACAGCCATTTTGGAGGTCACGCCGCTGCATCCAAGTCTGTTCCTACCATCGGTAAGTAGAGCTAGCTATTCCCCTGCGAGTCGTCAATAAGTTTCTATAATTATCAGACCGTCGCCCGTCCTTGGATGGGCAACGGAGGACTCTTGCCACCCAGCCATCCGCACAGCTTGACGCCCCAGGATCTGGCACGCATCAATGTGAGTATAGGTCGAAACTTCCATTAGCAACTAGCTGTATGTATTTGCCATTACTTTTCTCGCATACAGCCTCCGCCCTTGCTGGTCGATGTGGGCACTCAGACGGAGTACCTTTGCTGGTGCATGCACATGAGCATGTTTCCGCCGCCGACGCTGCCTGTGCCTACACCACAGCCGAGACCGCAAGGCAATCCCGGCCAACAACTTGCTGCGCCAAACGGACCGCGCATGATGGCGCCTTGTGGCACGGCGCCGATGAGTTTCTGGGGCAGACCCATGGGTAAGTGAGCCGCTTGGGTCGAATTGCTTCTTCCACTGATGATCTTGACTCGCCTGTGCTTTCAGTACCTATGCATGCGCATCCCTACCCCCATGCTCAACAGGTACCGCGTAGGCAAGGCTCGCGCTACGGCTACCGCATCAACACCAACGGCGGTGTGCCCTCTCGCTTCAATAACGGCGACAACAGCCGCTCGCGCAACATGCAAAACTCGTCCATGCATCTGAACGGCCAGCAGAGCGAGGACAATGCCAGCACAGACAGGAGCACTACTCATGTCAAGGACCAGCCATCGGCACAGCGTCGCCAGCAGCGGCGCCAACAGCAGCAGGAATCAGATGACACCGAGACACCGTCATCGTATCGCAGCCCGCACAACACATCAGTGCTTCGCCTTAGCCCGAATAGCCACAACCGCGAGATGGCAATACAGCAGCAAGAGCAGCAACAGCAACAGCAACATGAGCAACAGCGGCTGTTGCTAGAACAGGAGCAGACCTCTATCAACACCGGCAGTCAGTCCAGCTCGCCTGTGCTGCGCTCGGAGCAATACTCGCGTCGCTGCCCGCATACCAGCTCCTCCAACAGTCAGTCCAGCTCGCTGAGCCCCCAATCCTCCAGTCACAGCTCATCGGTCATTAGTAACAACGATAGCGAGGTGAACGGCTTTGGCGACAATGCTGAGGCGGTCAGAAATGAAGGCGATAATACTAATAACAACGATGGCGCTGTGGGAGTCCTGAGCATGAACAATAGCAACAGCAACAGCAACAGCAGCAATAGCAACGAGCAGACACTCAGTCAAACATTGACAAATGCGGAAACGGAAAGTGACGCACCAAATGCAACTCTACCAGCTTCGCAGAGCAGCGAGAATGAATCCGCGGAAGCACCGAAACGCAGTCGGATGAAGCCGGCAAACATATTTCTGCAGCCGACAGGGCCGGTAATGCCCAGCATGCCCATGATGCACTTTTTCATGAATGGACCCCAAGGCGATATGCCGCCGCTAATCTTTGATATGAACGACAGCTCAAGCCCGACTCCTAACTATGCCCAGTTCTTGCCGAACATTAATATGAACCTGAGTATGTTCAACAATACCTTGATTAACCCGACTAACCCGATTGTCAACCCCATGGGTAACCCTATAGGGAATCCCATGGGGAATCCCATGGGGAATTCCATGGACAATCCTATAGGGAATCCCATGGGGAATCCCATGGGGAATCCCATGGGGAATCCCATGGGGAATCCCATGGGAAATCCTGTGGGGAATCCCATGGGAAACGCTCGGATTAATCCAGTGGTTAACCGAATGTGCAACCCGATGGTAAATCAGATGGGCAATGCTAGTCCTATGATAAATCCTATGCCCAACGCAATGTGCCATCCAATGGCCAATTCCATGAACAATCGTATGTGCCATCCGATGTCTAACATGCATGGCATGCCGCCCGACATATCGGGCAATGGTAGTCCTATGATAAATCCGATGGCAAATCCAATGCCCAACGCAATGTGCCATCCAATGGGCAATTCCATGAACAATCGCATGGCGAACCCCATGTGCCATCCGATGTCTAACATGCATGGCATGCCGCCCGACATATCGGGCAACTACTGTCCGATGGGGCGAGACGTGGGCATGATGAATCCGGGTATGATATTACCCCATGGCCCCTATAAGAATCCACAAGAGCCCCATAATCCCATGGAGATGCAAGATGCCATGAATATGAACATGCAGATGAACATGCAGATGGGTATGAATGAAAACCATAATGGACCCTTAATGGGTAATTCGTTTGAAAATGTGAACCCGATGCTCCATCCGAATGGTTACATGGCGAACGATTTCATGGGCACGAATGCGAGCAATGGCAACATGAATGAGACCTACAACACTGTTGATCATCGCAAGGAGACTAACATCCGTCACGATGTGGCAGCTGGCGAACGTGGATCAATCAACAAGCTCGGAGCTGGTGGAAAATCAAAACTAAATTAGATTTACATACATATGCTTACACACAGACTTACTTAAATCCACACCTACACACACACACACACACACACACACACACACATACACACATAAGAGCAGATACGTTTCACATTTATTAGTTAGTGATCCATGGGAATCGGCAACGCAATGCGAACGATTTTATTCATATTACTTTCCTCATATATATATAAATATGTCTACATACATACATAGACACAGAGTATACATATTATATATATATATATATATCATGGTCACGTATATGTACACCTGTCGCGTGACTAAATCGCGACACACACTAACACTAACACTAACATCTATAATTGTAACAGTTAACTCTCATACACTCACACACTTCGCTTGTACACACATACACTTTTACATACTTTCCCTCGAATCATACATTGTAAACAAACACGCATATGCATGCGTATACATAAATACATATAGAAGGCATTGGGATGAATTGAATTGAATATGAATGATAATAGAAGCAATCATAACTAATGCATAACACATTTATAATATTTGTAACCTGTTCACAAACACACTCATCGCACACACACACACACACACATACACGAAATTCGAAGCAAATAAAGCATATGATCGCATTTATATTTTATTTTATGCAGCGGAGCAATCGCTTCATAGCAGCAATAGCAGCAGCAGCAATAGCAGCAGCAGCAGAAGCAGCAGCAGCAGCAGCAATAGCAGCAGCAGCAGCAGCAATAACAGCAGCAATAGCAGCAGCAGCAGCAATAGCAATAGCAGCAGCAGCAGCAGCAATAGCAGCAGCAACAGCAGCAATAGCAGCAGCAGCAGCAGCAGCAATAGCAGCAGCAATAGCAGCAGCAATAGCAGCAGCAGCAGCAACAACATCAGCAGCAACAATATCTGCAGCAGCAGCAATATCAGCAGCAGCAGCAATATCAGCAGCAGCAACAGCAGCAGCAATATCAGCAGCAGCGATATCAGCAGTAGCAGCAGCAACAACATCTGCAGCAGCTGCAATATCGGCAATAGAAGCAGCAATATCAACAGCAGCAGCAATATCAGCAGCAGCAACAACATCTGCAGCAGCAGCAATAACAGCAATATCAGCAGCAGCAGCAGCAATATCAGCAGTAGCAGCAGCAACAACATCTGCAGCAGCTGCAATATCAGCAATAGAAGCAGCAATATCAACAGCAGCAGCAATATCAGCAGCAGCAACAACATCTGCAGCAGCAGCAATAACAGC